CCCCCTCCCGCACCCCCTCCTGCACCCCCTCCTGCACCCCCTCCAGGGCCGCCCCTTCCCCTCCTTCCCCCCTCCTCTCCCTTGCCGTACGCGACAAACTGCAACTGTCGGGTGCGTAGGTGGTTCTCCTTTTGAACTTGGCAAACAAACACTACCCAACGGACAACGACGACAAAAAAAAAAACGAATTCCACACGTTCATCCGCGACAAACAGTACCTGTACGAGACAGACATTACCCGACGGACAAAAAAAAAAAGAAAAAAAAGAAACAAAACGAAGTCTACACATGCATCCCTCGCGCGCGGGATGAATGTGTGGAATTCGTTTTGTTTTGTTTTCTCTTTTGTTGTTGTCCGTTGGGTACTGTTTGTTTGCCAAGTTCAAAAAAAAAAAAAAAAAAAAAAAAAAGGGGGAACCATCTACTCATCCCCTCGCGGGAACGGCGCTAAGCGCGCCGAGTTCGTGCGATTGCACATTGCTAGTAAGTCGAACATCTGTGCGTGAGAAGGATATAGTTTAGTGTGTGTGTGTGTGTGGATACTTGTGGATAAGTTTAGACTGTTTAGTGTGTGTGTGGATAAGTGTGGACAAGTGTGGATACGTTTAGTGTGTCTGTTGAAGTTTGAGTGGATGTATATCATATATCATCTTTCTGGAACGGCAACATTTTTTCTTTTGCGGTAGCTGAAGCACGTGTGGATACTCCTTTTGTTTTTTCGGGGGACTTTTTTTTTTTTTTTTTTTTTTGGATTTTCGGGACCTTCTACATTCTTTGCGGTAGGTGAATATGCATGAATGAATCTCTAAAAAAAAAAAAAAAAAATTGCATGAATGCCTCTTATAAATAGTAAGTGAGCTACTGTGGATAAGTGTGTGCGGATAAATGTGTGGAGAAGTTACTTATTTCTTTCCCGTTGCTGTATGCGAATATGCATGAATGAATCTCTATAAAAAAAAAAAAAAAAAAAAAAGCATGAATGCCTCTTATAAATAGTAAGTGAGCTACTGTGGATAAGTGTGTGTGGATAAATGTGTGGAGAAGTTAGTTATTTCTTTCCCGACTGTAATTTGGCGGTATATTTGGTTAACTTAGCGAATGTAGATAATTTATTTATTTGTTTTCAATACTATAAATAAATGAATTTCTTTCCCGACTGTAATTTGGCGGTATATTTGGTTAGGGAATGTAGATCATTTCTTTTTTTCAATACTATAAATATTAAATAAATAAATTTCGACGCCCGACTGTAATTTGGCGGTATAAATGGTTAGCGAATGTAGATAATTTCTTTTTTTCACTACTATAAATAAATAAATTTCGACGATTGCAGAACATGAAGTTGGAATCGCTGCGACTAAGCGCATCGCCACCCAATGAGAAGGAACTTACCCCTGGAACATGTCTAGATGCACTCGCCTGATTGTTTTGTCTTTTTCACATTGCGAGAGTGGTGTGTCGAGGCCCTAATCCCGCACATTCGCATTCCGCGGTGAATATATGTATTCACTCCTCGTACACACCGCCCGTCGTCACACCCGGGGAATTTCTCGTTGTGCCCGAAATCGTCTCTATGATAAACCAAGCAAGTGATTTGAGATCCTTGCAGTCTCACTTGGAGGATATGTTACGATTGATTGAAGCAACATACCAAGCAAGTGCAAGCACTTCGCCGAAAAATTGGACAAAGGGAGAGAGAGAGAGAGAGAGAGAGAGAGAGAGAGAGAGAACGTTACGCACCACCGGTGGACGTGCGCAGCATCTTCTGGGGAACAAAGCATCTTCTCACGAGTCGAGGATCGATGGAAGAATCGAACGCTCGAACGCGCGATCTCCCTCTTGGGAGGCAAA